CCTGAATATTGGAGTATTCTGCTGCCTCGGGGTTTCATTTTTTACCTGAATGTGTAGCAACAATGTGAAACTCCAAAAGTTTACTTCAAAAAACTCAAAAGACATCAAAAGTCTCAAAAGTTTTTAAAATATCTTATCTTGCGATATTTCGGTGCGTAGCACCTTCGTCAGGCCTGAAATTATTTAGCTTGTTTTTAGTTAGATACTGTACCTACTACAGAAATACCACTCGCACGGACGGCTCCCCCACTCAGTCCACCTACCTTGTTGTCCCGAAAAATCCATTTTTTTTCAACAGGGTAAGTGGATTGAGTAAGGGATCCGTCCGTGTGAGTCTGTAGTAGGTACAGTATCTAATTAAAAACAAGCTAAATAATTTCAGGCCTGACGAAGGTGCTACGCACCGAAATATCGCAAGATAAGATATTTTAAAAACTTTTGAGACTTTTGCTGTCTTTTGAGTTTTTTGGAATAAACTTTTGGAGTTTCACATTGTTGCTACACATTCAGATAAAAAATGAACTCCGAGGCAGCAGAATACTCCAATATTCAGGTTGATCCATTCGTTCGCCCCGAACCACGACCAGATCGCACCGGTGGAATTACCCCCATCCAGCCGGTTCCGGCTCATGCTCCGGTTGACTTCTATGAAGAACGTGACAGATGTCTGAAGGTAACTTTTTTGTGTTGGCTTGTTTGGAGCAGAGCTTCATGATATGATACGGTATTAGAAAGGTTTCTTGATCCTGTGTTTTCAAAAAATGAGCAAAGTATGAAATAAAGAATTGAATCTATTTCAGGAGAAGCGCCTCTTTGAGGACCCACACTTCCCTGCTGACGACAGTTCGTTGTTTTACAGCAAAAGTCCTCCGAAACGAATTGAATGGCTCAGACCTGGTGTATGTGTGCTTTCCACTCCACTTCTTATTTTTATTTTTTCTTTCAGTTCTCTTTCCCTTATTTTCCTTTTCTTACAGAAGAATGTTATTACGTCAAATACTAGAATTTGTGTGGCTTCAGTTTGGTGAAATATTGCAACTGGTACTGTAACTAGTTTGCCACCAGCTTTTCAAAATGATGTAGATCCGTAAATACGGCTGATATCGTCGCAATCAGTGGGGGCGGTGTTAAGGGAGATGGAGTGAACCCACCTTTGAAGTTTTCACCACTGGTTGTTTTCTTCCTAAATCGATCACCAACCGGTCGCTGTTAGTAGAGAAAGGCAGTGAAAGCAAGCCCATGCCGCCTTTCGTGACACCGCCCCGACTGATAGCGTTGACATCAGCTATGAACTGTGAGTTTTGACAGTACAGTTTTTTTGGGGGTACATCATCACGATGTGTGAGATGGCGGCGCCACCACTTCCCCATTCTACTTACCCTCTTCCCAAATTTTCCCACGTCCCCATCACTTTTCCCGACTTTTCCCAAAAGAACGAAGTTCTCTTTGGACGCGGAGAAGGTATAATATAGCGCATATGAAGCGGGAAATATCGAGAATAGTTTCCAGTTAACCCTCATTGACTAAATACGACCTCAGTGGCCAAGGACGACCCTGATGGGACCCTCCCGGTGATACTGTGCCCTGTTCCTGGGGCCACATTCCACGATTACCTTATGAGCAGAATCCTTTTTTGTGTTTGCTTTGATTTCTGTGAGTAAAGTGGACTTTCAACATTGAATTAGGAAGATTTTTGTGCATCCTTTCCGTCACTCTATTTAGGAAATCGTTCGTGATCCACAGCTGATCACTGAAGGGCATTCCCGTTTCGACGTGATTCAAGTGAGTCCTAATTACCTTTCTTTTTCGATATTTCGAGCTAAAAAGCTGCCCTTTAGGGAGAACTCGGTGACTGCTGGCTTCTTGCTGCTGCCGCTAATCTCACACTCAAGGACGAACTGTTCTATCGTGTTGTACCACCAGATCAGTCCTTCACTGAGAACTATGCAGGTCAGGGAACCGTCTGCCTTCCTTTTTTCAATATTATTTTTTAACATTCCTACGGGATTCCTAACTGATCTTAGAGTTACTGTAATGCGATTTAAGAAAATTTCAGGTATTTTCCACTTCCAATTTTGGCAATATGGTAAATGGGTAGATGTGGTGGTCGACGACCGTCTACCAACATCCGGCGGTGAATTGTTGTACATGCACTCGAAGAGTAACAACGAATTCTGGAGTGCTCTTTTGGAAAAGGCATACGCCAAGTGAGTTGGAATCCAGGTACATATAACTTGCCTCCTCCCTCAACAAGGTGTGTAGCGTCACACTCGAGTTGGGAAGCCGCGATCGCGTGCTAGCAGAGTATCTCCTAGCTAGTTGACTTGGAAGACAGACACGGCGGGAACTTGTCAACTTGAGAGACGCAAGCGCAGGGAGAGTCGAGAGAGTCGACGCGTCGCAGCACTGCCACGCTTGGTGGATTGGGTCCCGGTACGAATGCTGCGTACCCCACCGGCCGGCAAAGTCTATTTCGTCACAACCGCGACCGAAAATAAGGCTCCTAAACCATCCGCGACAGGCTGGACTTCATCTTCACTGGGGGTCGATATATTACTCGCCAAGATCGAGTTGTGACCGTAATCAGGCGCTATCAATCTGGAGTGTACGGTGGCTCTTGCCAAGTTGCTTGCATGCTCGCTGGCAAGTAAGAAAGGATTGGGGAGAAGGTGGTGCTCAAGAACGCCACTAGAAGGGGCATAGTTACTGAATAGAACGTCTCCAGAAAGACTCAAAAGTCCATCGAATTTGAGCATATTCAGTGAATGAGCAAGGTTCAGAAGAAAAGGTTTTGATAAAACAAGCAGCCAGTAATGGCTTTTCTTGAATATTCCGAAGCCAGCTATTTTTTAATGTTGACATTTTTCAGGCTATACGGCTCTTATGAAGCTCTCAAGGGAGGTACCACCTCAGAAGCTCTTGAGGATATGACCGGCGGTCTCACAGAGTTCTACGACCTTAAGCAGCCACCCAGGAATTTGATGCAGATGATGATGAGAGGGTAAATTTTCGACCGTTTAGGAAAAAGGGTTGTTCTTTTGGATTTATCTATTAATTGCAGTTTCGAGATGGGCTCACTATTCGGTTGCTCGATCGAGGCTGATCCATATGTCTGGGAAGCTAAATTGCCCAATGGACTTGTGAAGGTGGATAGAGTGAACTCACTCTTTCGCTAGGCAGCGTTCATAGTTCGCGGCTGACTACTTAGCTTCGGAGCTTAGTTCCTGACTAGGATTAGATACATATCGATCTCCTGGTTGCGAAAGCGCGCAATTGAGCGATTCTCTCATTGGAGTTGAAGCACGAACTGAGCTTCTCTCGCCTCGCTACTATTCACTTCACTGGTGCCGCCGACCATGAGCGTTGCCTCAAAAATCTTAAAACTCGATGAATCATACCTAATTTATTACCTACAGGGTCACGCGTACTCGATAACAGGAATGCGTATAGTGAATGGACCACGAGGTCAGGCTTGCCTTGATGAGGCTTCGAAATCCATGGGGAAATGAACAGGTGAGTTGGAACGTAATTCCTATCTTTCCTAAGGCACGCAGTTCTATGAGAGTACAAATCAAAGCTGGGCTCAAACAAAATCATAGCGGTTCCAAACGTATTCAGAAGCAGCTCTCGGGGAAATTTTCAGGGTTAGGGTTAGGACGTACAACTATTCTTGTGGGTACAGTACGGTCGTTTTAGCAGACGTTGAAGCGTGCTCAGGCGAGGGGCTGAGTTTCGTACGGCGCTAGCCAGTTTTCACACATCTCTAGAAGCAGGCAAGTAACAACAGCCGGTGGAAAACGGGCTGGCGCTTCGCGAAAGGCAGCATTTTGGCACGATCCAACGTATGCAGCGAGAACGGTTATGAGCACCCTTCGATATTTTCTTTCGATTTTTTCGTTTTGCAAAGGTTTTGGAAAACAGGGTTGGATTTTTAATGCTCGCTTTTAACGGATATTCATTGTGACAGAATTAGTTGATGCCACAATTAGAGTTGTGGAAAGAGGAATAATCAAAGTAGATACACTTCAGGAGTGGAATGGTCCGTGGTCAGATAACTCACCTGAATGGCGTAGCATCCCGGACAATGTGAAGCAAGACATGGGACTGAAATTTGATCACGATGGAGAATTCTGGTATGATTTTAACAGTTTCAGTTTTATTTATGGACATTTCTTCATTCATTTGATTATTAATTTATTTGCGTACCAGTTAGTTGTGAAAGGGTGGTTATAATGCGAAGACAAGAGGACGAACAGTCAACGTTTGTTCGGACGCTGGGGCCGCAGTGGACAAGACTATGGGTGCTGGGTTTAGCGCCTCGCCAGCCAGTTATTTCCCCAAATTTGCAGGTTCCCGCCTGCGCCTAGCTTCCCAACTTAGATAGGAAGCGGCGGCTTTACCATCTCAAGGCTAGACACCGCCCTTTCGCGTCGCGCTGGCGAGCAAAGGCTGTATTTGCATTACAAGTCTCTGTCCAGCGAAGAAGAAGCTTTTTTAGGCGTCGGCGAGGTGACCAGGCGGCTGGTGGGGCCCCCGGAATTAATAATTCGAGGAACATATTCCCTCTGAGAGCGCGCCCGGCCGGCCGCCAGCCGCGCGCCAATGTGCTTTTGTTTTTTTTGATCATTAAGGAAAAAGGAAAATGTAAAGAAAAAGATCTCATAATAGAGGTCATAAAGGCATCCAGAGTTTCTACAACTGCTCGCTAACATTGAGATCCATTGCAGCTGGCGGGAACACACACTAATACTCCGAATAAAAAAATTGTAAAATCGGCAGGTCTAAATAATCTGCCGAAATTGGACTACCACCCGCTTTTTGATTCACATTTTGGTGAATTATATCTTTCCGAAGTAATGTACTACATAAACGCAGGGAAAGTCAGGACATCACTGCCAATGCGCTGAAGTGCGCGGAAGTGCGAACCTGCTCACGCCCGCTCTTATCATATTTTGATTCATTTGATTTGATTTGATGTATAGGTTGGAAAGAAAGTCCTGTCAGTGTTTTTTAGATAGCCTACAGTTTTTGATCTTCGAAGCTCGAACATGACGTAACATGCTAAGGTTGTAGAACATTCTCGAAGCTTTTCCACAAGGATACATATAAAGGCCGCTGCTCCTTCCCTGTGTTCCTATTTCACTCCGATGGTCCAGTTTCTCACTCCGGCAGCCAGCTCCAAGTGAATCTCTTCTCATAGCAGTGGCGCCGCGGGCACTCGGAGGCGACGGCGAGCGCGGCCCGTAACCCACACTCGTCGGCTTGCGGGAACGCGCACCCCCCCGTCAGGCACTGTCACGGTTGCTCGCTCGTCGCTGAAAGGAGAGACGATTCTCGAAGACAACCTCGTCTGGGACGCCTTCGCGCGTAGAAATTCCACCGTTCGAACCGAGTAGTGGGGCCGGATCCAGAGGCTACCACGCTGCAGTATTGGGCGACACAGGCTAGGATGTAGGCATACAGGCGGCTATAAGCCGGCTTTCGGCCTGGATAGCAGAGAAGTCCTCACGGCGAGCGGACACTCCCATGCTTACACAGGTGGCAGCGGTAAACTGGCGAAGGGTCGAGCATCCCCTGTCGATCCCCTCCCTTCCTCCCCCGCTCAACCGCGGCCAAGGAGTTTCTGGCAGATCATTCGTGCACTGGAGATGAAACGCGCCGGGTCCGCTCTACTCGATTCCCAACTACCGTCGATGCATGTGGCCTCCCCCTCCCCCCGCCACTACCGACGGAGACAGCCACCGCCTACCACCCTCCGGATCAACTTGCACTCCACAACGAGCGTCTGCCTCTGCCTGCTCCTCTGCGGCACTTCGCACCCAAGGGCCATCTCGCGGCCACCCCCGACGCGCTGCTGCCGCACCAGCGCTACCGGTTACCGCTCGCCCCCCCCCGTTACGCCCGCCAAACTCCGGAAACTCGCGGCAAGCTCTTCGAGAAAAGGCGGCCGAGAGAGCTCTCGGTGGCACCCGGTCCCTCACTCGATAAAGCCAGACCAATGTGGCTGAATGAACCACGCAAAATCGAGCGAGCGCTGGGCCTGGGAGACCTCGTTCCATTCACATATTCTCCAGACCTAGCCCCCTCCGACTACTGCTTGTTTCGCTCCCTCAAGGCTTTCCTAGGTAAGGAAACCTTCAGCGAATTTGATGGCATCAATACGCAGCAACTTCGGCCTCTACTTCTTCGACTCGCAGCCTCCTCAGTTCTGGGAGAAGGGGATAGCTGAGTTGCCCATTAGGTGGAGCACTGTAGTGGCTAACAATGGCGATTATATTATTGATTAGTTTTTATTTCATGTTGAGTTAGAAAATAAAAAAGAAAAAATCACAACAGTGACAGGACTTTCTTTCCAACCTATATTACGAGGTACAAACAATGCTCAACTCAAAAATAGTACGTGTTGCGTTACAATATTTTCGATACCCTGTAACAGCTGGATGGAGAAGAAATAAAAAAGAGGGGGGGTTGGCGCTCGATCTGGAGTGGCAAATAGATAGCTGAGAAAGGGCAGTGGCCGCACACTGCAAGCTCGGAAATACTCACAGGAATTCCGGATACTATCGTACGTAGGTCCGCAAGTCGCTAGGGCCACTCCATTGGCAGTACGCAAAGCAGTGGGGAAAAAAAGAAAAAGAAAGGGGGGGGGCAACATAAGGGAATACAAGTTATATGTCAGTTTTAGAGAGGGAATAAAGACATCTTCTTTGAATCTTGTTCTACGTCCCTTTTTACTAGCTCCCGCCGGTGCGTTGATTCCAAGGCTCATTGCTGCTTTTGACATGCAATCCCTTGGCGATTTTCCGCTTAAGTAGCTTCTTTTCCTGATGTACTTCTAGCTTGGTAGTTCGAAAGATATTGCTTCCAATGGGTCTCAGAAGGAAATCTTAGATTATTTGCAAAGATCCTAACTTTAGGATGTCATTCGAGGATTTCATGAGAAATTTCGAGAAGATGGAAATCTGCAATCTTGGACCCGATGTCATGGATGAAATCTCTCAGGTTATTACCTTTTTGCTTGAAAAAAGAATTTCATGGAGTTTTGTTGGATTCTTTCGTACAACTAGCTTGATGTTTCGATAATGGGCAGGAGTGGCATTGGTTAGAGACAAGACTCTGGGTTTGGGGCTGGGTTTAGCGCCTCGCCAGCCAGTTTCCCACCAATTGCGGTTCCCTGCTAGCTTCCACAATTGATAGGGAACGGCCCGGCTTCCATCTCAGGTGCACGAGGGCGGCGCCTTGCCGTCGGTGCGCGAGCAAAGGCTGTATGTGGCTTACAAGGACTGTCTTTTCAGGAATACGAAAGAAGCTTTTTAGGCGTGGCAAAGGGGCCAGGCAGCGGACTGGTGCTGCAGGCAGCGGACTGGTGCTGGCTCAATAATTGAGGAACATTTGAGACCAATGGCCTTTGGTTTTTTGGTCATTAAAAAAAGGAAATGTAAAGAAAAAAGTCTCATAATGAGGCATAAGGCCTCAGAGTTTTACACTGTCGCTAAACATTGAGATACCATGAGGCTGCGGGACAACATAATACTCAGAAAAAAAATTGTAAAATCGGCAGGTCTAAAGGTTGCTTCCCTGTACACCAGCCTTTCCGGAGAGCTTGTGTGTTAGCAGTAAACTACCTATATTTCCCGAATTGAAATACGATTTTTTTCAATTTTGGTGAATAATCTTTCGAAGTAATGTCCTAATAAAGAAGGGAAGTAGGAATCACTGCCATGCGCTGAAGTGCGCTAAGTGAATGCTAGCGCTTTAATCATCTTTTGCATCTTCTTCTACGTCCCTTTTTAAACTAAGCGTCAGCCGCTCGTTTTGATTCGCCAGCTCAATAAGCTTTTGACATGGCAATCCCTTGGCGATTTTCCGCTTAAGTAGCTTCTTTTCCTGATGTACTTCTAGCTTGGTAGTTCGAAAGATATTGCTTCCAATGGGTCTCAGAAGGAAATCTTAGATTATTTGCAAAGATCCTAACTTTAGGATGTCATTCGAGGATTTCATGAGAAATTTCGAGAGAAGAATCGGAAATCTGGCAATCTTGGACAGAGCGATGTCCATGGGGATTGAAATCCTCTCAAGGTTATTACCTTTTGCCTCTGAAAAAAGAATTTCAATGGAGTTTATTTTGCTCTTTCTGTTTAGGCAGGTGAGGGGAGAGGGCAGTGAAGGTACAACTAGCATTGAATGTTTCACGTAATGGCAGGAGTGGATTGGTTATACCGCAGTTGACCACTAAGGCTGCGTCTTATACTTTACGGCAGGTAGCGTAGCGCTTCCAGCGTACGCCAGCGGCAGTGCCGAAGAGAGGATGCATATCGATCTAGCTTCACCAGCGTCACCAGCGGCACGCTGGCGTAGCGAGGGCACGGGAAGCATAGCTATCGATCTAGCTTCACCAGCGTTTCTCGAGCGTTTCTCCAGCGGCACCAGCGTTTTGCTAGCGCTTGCAGCGGCAGGAGTAGAGACTATGTGGCCGTGAGAGACGCGGAATCGACGTGTATTGTAGAGACCATGTGGCCGTCGGAGACGCAGAAGCGATGTGCATTGTAGAGACTATGTGGCCGTCGGAGACGCAGAAGCGATGTGCATGTAGAGACTAAGGGCGAGACGCGCAATCGATGTGTTTTGTACCCTCCAGCTCTCCCATAGTCTCTACTCCCCTGCCGCTGCAAACGCTAGCAAAACGCTGGTGAAACGCTGGAGAAACGCTGGCGTACGCTAGCGTGCCGCTAGCGTACGCCAGCGTGCCGCTGGTGACGCTGGTGAAGCTAGATCGATATGCATCCTCTCTTCGGCACTGCCGCTGGCGTACGCTGGAAGCGCTACGCTACGCTGCGCTACGCTACGCTACGCTGCCGCAAAGTATAAACGCAGCCTAAGAGCGGCTTCGCTTCATTCATACCGCGCGAATGAAGCTATCAGATCGCGGTTTATGAACGCGTTTAAACTCCTCGTAGGTCTTGTAATATCCAAGTTTTCGTTTTGTCCGTAATCCTTTCTTGAAAGCAGGAATTGATTGGTCGAAAGTGACTGTTCGCTCAAAATGTCGACTGTGGAAGTTGAAAATTTATTGGAATTATTCCTCATATAAGGATCATTCTGCGAACTTCTGAAATCTGTTATTAAACTTTGGTGGTACTTAGATGACTGGTGTACGCACAGCTGGTATGGTATGGGCTACGAATACTCATGATGGTGCATGGATTCGTAACCAAACCGCTGGTGGTTGCAGAAATTACATCAGTCGGTCGTTTTTTATTCATTTCTTTAGAAACCTGTCCACGTTCGCATTCAATTTCAGATACCTTTGCAAGTAATCCTCAGTATCGTGTACAGCTCACCGATTCTGATCCGGATGACGATGACGAGTTGTGTACGGTGATCTTCGCTGTTATGCAGAAGTACAGGAGAAATCTGAAGGCTCAAGGCCTTGATAACGTCCCTATAGGATTCGCTGTCTACGATGTAAGTCTTTTTTTTCTGAAAACATTTTTTTGTTGTTTTTTGTTTTTAGTGTTTAGTGAAAGTGACGGTTAGTAGAATGTAACTGGTTGTTGGGAAAATGTTAATGACAATTTACCTGCTGACGCCATTCATTACCAGGGGTAGTTTACAAACAATAGTTGGCAAAGAAAAATTGGTCGTCGAGCTAGACAGCTGCAAATATGCGCATGTGCTTATTAAGAAAATATACCGCCTAAGTGCGCCGTAAAAACATGCGTTGTGTAACCATGGGGAAATTTCCTCGTTTTGTGACTTCTAACACTTCGAAGCTAGAAATATAATGGCAGAGGTCATTATTCCCTCGGTAAATGGAAAGGATGTGTCAAGGGGTGGAACGTGAAGGGCAGCGTTTTCCAGAGCAGGTTTTACCATCCTTGGTTAAAAGGCATAAGGCAGACAATCGTTAGGGGAACTCCTTGCCTACCTAACAAGAGTAAGTAATCAGGTGTTGCGGCGATCTTTGGGCATGGTGAAGTTTGCGCTTTCATGGAAGCGTCCGACCTTCTCTTCTGCGACTCGGTCGATCACACTGAGCCCTCTTAGCAGAGCTCTCATCGCTATTTGATTCTAGGCATGGACAACGACCCTGTGCAGAAAAAGAGCTGTCATTTATGTGATCTTGTGTAACGGGACCCGTGGGTCTAGCCTCAAGTAGAACGGTTTGTGACGCTTGATCAGCGCGTCAGTGCCTAGCTACGTTCCATTGAGGTAAGCAAGGAAAATGCACACATATAAATATAGCATGCAGGCAGATGACCAGAAGAGATCATGGGGATAAAAGGCGGAAGTGAAGGCGGTCAAAAACCTGCCGAGCAAGAGAATAGCCTGGAAAGAGATCCTTTTGACTTTGCCGGTCAGCCGGGTGACTTTCGCAGCAGGGGATTCTGCGGATGAGCTTCGGTTGCATCGAGCGGTAATCGACACGTAGAGGGTGAGGCTGGAATGTGCCTAATTTATTCCATGGCAGCACCACACACCGCTTTCATGTCAATGATATTCCCGTCGGCTATGCCTGCATGGCCGACCCTGCTAGCATTGTTTACTTCGGCAAAATCTGAGTGAGGCTCATCATATACGAGCAACAGCCCAATCGATTAGGTCAAACGACCATCTTGGGGGCGTAACATATCGGGTGGGGCCGCAAGGGCTTGCAGCCGTGCGTTCGGGGCGGTGCTACCTGCCCTTAAGGTTAAGGTGGAATGGGGCTGAAAGAGTGGCTGCACTCCTGCTTCCCTGCCTTCAGGCTTCGACGTCGTCGATATTCCTGGACGAGAGCTCGACTGGCTTATGAGTTAAATCCCACACTTCGTATGAGCGAGGGTCTCAGAGGTGTTCCTTTGGCTTTTTTCGGAGTGTGCTGGCAAGCATTCCGCAAAAGGGGAGCATATTGGGTGAAAATATCATGGGTAGATAGGGTCGTTAAAGGGCAGATGGTACTGAGAAGAAGAGCGAAGTAGATAGGGAAATTGGGCGTTGAAGGACGGTAGAGGGACTGGAAAAGTGCAGGCAAAGGAGAAAAAAAACGCAAAAAACGGCTAGCGGGGTACGCTGTTCTCGCTACCGGCTTTCGAACAGGCCTAACGTCGTCTGATAAGTATTGGTGACAGGATGCATGGGCCTGCGTAAGCGACTCGACGAACACTAACAGAACATCCCATCGTTCCGGGATTAAGCACTGAGAGGCGATCCAAGGAAGTCTTATTCATTTGCAACAACAGACCCTCCGGCGCGCCACATGAACCGCAAACCCCCTGACAGCTGGTAATATTAATGCATATTAAAAGACTCGTTTGAAAGACTAGGTTAGCTACGTGCAGTGAGTGTTCCGTATACTATGAGTACGACAAGGGAGAATAGAATCGAAGAATTGATAATATATGTAGAGCGCAAAAGGGGGGAAAGGGGTGGCGGGGGGGAGGGGGGTTGGGATCGCCGCGGAGATTCGTATTTCAGGTCGTTAGGAAGGGGTCTATAGTGGCTGCAGTTACCGAGAAAAAATTTCCGCTGTCCGTCGCGAGATGCCAACTGCTTAATGAAAGCATGACCATCCCTTATCCCTAAAGTGGATAGGAAGTTTCACGTTAGGACAGGTGACGGATATTTGCGGAACTAGGTCTTTTATTGTCAATAAATGAAAGCTGAATAATTACCATTTCCTGAGGAATTCTGTTGTAACGCGTGTTGGTGTCTTACATTCTTACAACTTTTGAGAAGTTCCAGTGGGGTCTAGGGAGCTAAACATCCGTTGCGTCCCTTTGCGTTATCAGTAGAATGCTCGCAGAACTTCCGGAATTCCGGAGTTATGGACTTTCCCTTCATTTTTACATCTCTTTGATCCTTATCACTACTGAACTAAAAGACGAGCTGTTATATTCGAGAATATAGATGGTTACAGGAGGGCATGGTTACAGGTTACCTCGTACGGTATTTCCCCAGCGAAGGTCGCATTTGGCCAGTGGCTGCTGTTTCACTCCCCCTCCTCCCTAGTTGGCGTCACAGTGAAACTCCTATACAGCTAAAACTTCGATAGTCGAAATTGGTACTTGACTGCCCCCCCCCCATCTCCGCTTGAACGGTAGTTTTGTTTCAAGAAGAAATTATATTATTAATATATTATATATTTTTAGAAGAGTAGGAAAGTGGTAAGAAGTTGAGAAATGTGGGTAGCATAGAGAAGGAGCGGTAAAGGAGGAAATTCGGACGGGCCATGTTTTACGAAAATTGTCCCATAGACGGGAAGTGCCCTGGTCATACTAGGTCATGAGAAAGAGGAATATTGTTTGTTCCACTATTTGCTCCTTACTGCACGCGCACCCCCTTGTAGCCCCCCCCCCTAAATCGACTGTCCTCCATTCGCGCAGAATTGTGTAAGGGCTGTCTAGGGGTAGGCATAATTGTGGTTGGTGCACTGGTTGTGCTCACAATCAGTCATGATCGATGATTCTGTGATATTTTGCTGAGTTAAAGCTGTTTGCAGGTATCGGTGAGTCTTCTATGGTTGGTTATGGAAGTGCTGAGTTTATGTTTTTTAGTTGCCTCATATTGTGTTAGACGCTAGCGATTTTCAAAGTAATTCGTGTGCCTAAATGTAGCTAATCAAGCCGATTTGCAGTGCGTTCAGATTAGATAGCATTCTCTGTAGTTTTCTGTCTATGTATAGCACCTACATAGCACTGCAGTTTACAGTTATGACTTTGCCATCTAAAACTGCTTTGTTCAGGCTGGCAACATCACCGGACGTCTATCCAAAGGATTCTTCCAAGCCAACAAGTCTGCGATGAGAAGTGCAGCTTTCATCAACTTGAGAGAGGTAACAGTCAGAGCATCTCTCAGGATCTCTTTTGCATTGTTGATCTGAGAGCCTGCATGGCATCTTCCTATAACAGCCCTAAGGTGCATTCCATGATTAGTTGAGAAATTAATCTTCTCCGTATAGCTGAGGTAGGGTGATTCATTGAAATCCACTTAAAATCCATTTAAATGACCAAGGATAGTCAATAAGAATTCATGGTATGCGATTAGTCGTTGGTTACTTGAGTGGCGATCCATTGATAGGATGATGCCTCAAATATTGGGTTTCGTTAAATTCATTATTTTATAGATGACCGGTCGATTCCGTGTGCCACCAGGCAACTACGTGGTTGTTCCTTCAACATTCGAACCGAATGAGGAGGCTGAGTTCATGCTGAGAGTCTTTACAAATGGATTCATTGAATCCGAGTAAGCTGGTTTAACATTTCACTGCAACTATTTTTTTCATCAAAGTCATCAGTTTGAGAAATTCTATTGTCCCTTTTCAGAGAGTTGTAACTGCACCTGCAACTTCACTTGAAGAAATTCCACAGTTCCCTAGTGCTTTTGTGTTCTCCTTTCGCAAATTTGTATACAGTTATCATAGTATTGTTTCAACTAAAAAAATTGCAAGTTGTAAGCCGTTCCTATGTAATAAAGTTTGAATTTATATAATGAATTAATCACTACGATTCAACTGCACCGTATCAAACTTCGGCGGAAAAGAATCAGTCAGAAACAATCCACACTGATTGTTTGGGCGGAGTCGGGCCCACCGTTCTGTCTTCTTCATTGATGCGCTCTCCTCTTTACCGTAAACAGGATTGAAGAAATACTGGTAGAGTTTTTCACACATGAGTATGAGCTCTGCCTTGAGGCAGCTAAGTATGGACTAACCGCCTATCCCTTCGGATTCCGCCAAATACCCAACTTCCATTTTCAGTCGTAGGATTGTTTGAATATGCCTTGGCCTAATTTCAAGAGCCAGTTTGTATCTTTCGTAAGTTCAGTTGATATCCTCCCATTCATTTTTTTTTCTTTTTCATACTCTCATATTTTATTTTCTTTTCACTACTATCTGATCCATAGTCATATTTATTCCTTTACTCTATTCACATTTACTCCTTACCCCCTTTTCCTTTCCTTTCCACTCGCAATCTGAGAAAAGGGAATGGAAGTATTAATAAATAATGATATTATTGCTTGTTCTTTACATTAGTCGATCAGTGATACATGTCGCTTCTTTAGGGAGGAAAAAGATATGACTAGAGCATTGATTTAGCGTTTGATGATGCTGTGAATGCTTTCATCTCACGATTGTTAAACTACTGGGTAGTGACAATGACACTAAGCCCCCTCTCTATCTCGGCCATAGTCACACACAACATACCAATTGGCGCCGTTTTTGCAGTGTCATACTTTGTTTGCGCCTGAAATGAACAAACGCCTTGAGGGGGTCGTTAGCGAGTCGCCAACCGTTCTAGTGACTCGTTTGAGCTAACACAACCTGATGCTATGCTCTCACAAAGTGACCTAGTGACATGGAGAAGCATTCACGTGATAATAGCACCAACATCTTTGCTTTAGCTCCCGATTTCTCCCCTTTTGACAGAATCCCCATGTCAGTCACTGATGATTGTGCAAAAAGAATACAATACAATGAATCATGATGCATTTAATGAACAAATGTTCATTTAACTTTTCCTCCTTCTAACGTTTCATTTGTTTTCTGAAGAGCCATCAGGTCAGCATTAGTTAGTCTCGTGATGAGAGCTTTTTGTCCTCCACCGTAGAAGGTACAACCTGCTTGTTCGTTGTATTGCGTTTTCATGTCTGGAGTTCTTTCTGCTGGAGTTTTTGGAAACAGACAGAGACTGGAATGGCAGATCGGTCTGATTGAACAGAACAACACAACAAGAACAAAAAAAAATCACGCACTTTAATAAGATGACAAATAACAACCCGAAAAAAAAAAAAAAAAAAAAAAAAAAAAAAAAAAAAAAAAAAAAAAAAAAAAAAAAAACTTATAGGTTTGGAAGGAAAGGACGGTTTCTCCGCCGCTTTATCGGTATCGCTGGACGGAGTGCCTCATGAGTTGTGTGCCGAGAGGTTAAAGATTCTCGGCCTCCGGCACGTGGGGATCTGATGTAGCAGAGTTGTCCATCTCAGCGAAGGTGCTAAACCGCGAAGCGGAGGACGGAACGTAGATGCGGTACGCTCGATCTGTACTGGAGTTTGATGGTCAATGTAGCGTCCCCGCAGCAAGTACGCAGTTAGGGATCAAAGAACAACCGCAAGTGACGCAACGTTTTGACTGGTAACCAGTAAGAAATGACACGTCTGTCAACACCCTGTAGGCAGTTTTTGGGCCCGTTTTTGTTCAGATTCGGACTGCAACTTATGATAATGCAAGGAAATAAAAATGCATGAATGAAAAAATTTGTCTCTTGGGGACCATAAGCCTATTGCTAACCCCTAGAAGTGCGCAGAGAAAATGAGCTACCCTTATATTACCTACAATGCCCTTGTTGCCCATTGTGAAGGCACGTGGGGGGAGACCCCACTCCCCGGTGCCTCTACAGTGCGCAACAAACCTAACAACAAGCTGAAGCTGAAAATGGGCTCCGCGACCTAACCATAAGAGACCTCTCCTCTTAGGTGAGCTTCGTGTCCTTCGTACACCTTAGAGGAGTTTTTTGGCAGACATTGTGGTTGGCAGGAGCGGGGTCCCTTGCGTAGACCACGCACAGAACCTCAACAGGATCTTTCAAGGAGAACCTCAACAGGATCTTTCAAGGAGAAGCAATGACTGGCATAGTCCACTCTTATGAACTACGAAAGAAGGCCAACACCACGCTTCAACTGATCCAGAAAGGTCTGACTCTTTCTTTCTCCATGACATCGAAGTTCGCAGTTCGTTAAAATGACATCTAAAAGAATCTCGACTGCAGGAACGGTTGCTCCTTTCTACTTTTTGGAGTACCTACCCCAAAACTCAGTAACGTGTGCTTACCACCTATGCACGTCCCATATGTGCCCATCAAAGAATACGTTCAATAATCGACGTCAACTCCAAAAAGAGATCAACTTTTTCCTTCTCAGTCTAGAAGTGAAATGAGAGCGCTGAGCGAAATGCTCCAAGGATGGGCATGTGTCTATCATCAATGGTAAAAGCTTTGTAAACTGGAGGCCTCATTGAACTAAAGAAAATTCGGTCCAAGTAAAGTTCGTCCGACTTTTCGGCCACCATAATATTCACCGAAAAAAATCGTTCTAGCGACTTTCCAGCCGTCGTAAGACTCGCGCTTCATCGTACGCAGCCCAGCTGGCAATATCGTACTTCGCCAGTACCCCTTCGTTACAAGCTCGGTGACTTCATCAGAAGCACAGAGGCAATGTGACCACTCAAAACGATAGTGAAATATTCATGCGTAGTTTCATGGAATCATTTCCCATTCCACGATATTGATCAGGTGTTCGCAAAAGCGAGCGATTATAGAGCTTAATCGAGCATGACAAACCGCGAAGGCTGCGCAGGTCCCTTAATTGGCACCGGGGTCCGCTCAGCACATGGAGGTCATGACTTTTTCTGGGTCTTGAGTTGCCCTTTTACATAGTTTCGTCGATAGGCGCTAGCCAAACAAACTCTGTGGATCATTTTTTTTCGCATGTTTATACTCGGGTCTTGCACATGCATAATGCTCCCATATAAAGCCTTCATTCGCGTAACTTCGAAGCAACAAACCCATTAACAAAACATCAACAATAAATGTAAACAACCGAGTTAACAGGTCTGAGAATCTTCACCATTCGTTGTAGGGCCCTGGCCCTGACTTTGATCATCCGGTCGCATGGCTGGGAAGAAGAGTACGTCCTGCAAAGAGCGAATTGGCAACTACTTGTTAAATTTTTCACCCACAACGGTGAAGTGCTCATTAACGATGGTGTCATAGCAATCTGAGACTAAGATATGTCCCAAAAGATGTATCTGATGTTCTAGTTTTGCGATACCCCCACAGAATTCTCTGGAGCGAGAAACCAAAAATTAAATACCTTGATGTTATTGCTGTCCGTTAGAAGCATAGCCAAGCGATCGATTCCCATTCCCCAACCTCCAGTAGGTGGAAGCCCATACTCAAGAGCAGTGCAGAAATTCTCGTCAATCATTTGTTCTTCATCATCTCCAGCACTCTTATCCTGAAATTAAGGTGGGACTAGGAAGAAAAGCCATGACGTAAGGCAGCGTTCAGACTTCGCGACGGCAGCGCCTTCGGTCGCGCGTTCGGCGCGATCGATGCGCATGCTTTCGACTGCATCGATCGCGTCGAATTCGCGACCAAAGCAGAGCTAGATAGGGAAAAAAGAATGCAAAAGTATAAATACCGCGGCCTGTTGTTCAAAAGTCATTCGCTGAGTGATAGGATCGTTCAACTCCGTGTAGGCATTGGCCACCTCTCTCATAGCGGCGAATAACTCGAATCTTTCAGTTAAGCCAGGAATAGACCTGAAACTAGATTTTTTTTTCTAAATAAAATTTTATCGCATAATTCTCTCGCTTACCTATGCCATTTAGCCAATGGACTCATGATTTGCGGATGACCAATGAGGAACGTTGGAGAAACAAATGTGCTTTCCAAGTACTCTCCAACCAATTTGTCCAACAAACGAGCCGTGGTGCGAGGTGGTGTACATTCGACTCCTCTCTCTTGGCATAATCGGTCAAACACTTGACGCGATTCTAAATGGCTGTCAGTAGTAGAGCAGAATGTATTCGCTAAGAACAGAAAGTTTCCCAAAATCACTATAAAAGCGGAGATGCACAAACTCTGCGCCCGAAATTCAGGAAGAAAGGAAGCAACGAACCCTCAGTCTTCAAAGTATCCGGAGGTGGCAATTTAATGCCTAGCGCCTTCTCCAAGCCCTCGTACATGTTTACACGCTTGAATGGTGGAGTAAAATCAATCTGAAACGGGAGATCAGGCATGCTGTTCCCTTCTACAGTACTATCAGAAACCATAAAAGTCCTTTAAAAAAACATACCTCGAGCTCTGGTTCAGTTCCAGGTCCATTGGGGTGATACATAATTTTGTATTTTCCGTGGATAAACATCACCATCTCTTGAAATATAAGTCATGACAAAGACATAAACACATGCACATATAATAAATAATGCTTTATCTATAAACGGCGGGCGCCAGAGTAGATGGGCACGACAGCAATCGGCAGCCACATCAGGCCGCAACTTTTCCATTCATCTAGGCCCTCCTACAGGAGCACTTTTAGCCAAGTAATCCCCTCCTCAACTGCCCTAGCCTTAGAGTGCGTTCGTAGTTTGCGGCAACGTTTTTTATGTTCGTCAGTTTTCTGAGCATTTTGAGCGACCAGGAAAGTAAAGGTATCGATCATAGTTCAAAACGCAGATGGGCGCTCTTCAGCATGCTGCCGCTTAAAGACTGCCCCCGCGATCAAAGTGGCTCGTGGTCAGCTTTGCTGTGCAAGTAGTCCAGCCTCCAAGCTAGTAGACTGCTCACCTTTCGCGACTCTATTGTGAGCGTGAAGGCTGCTATAGCCGCTCAAAGTGCTAGCTTCTAACTCCTCCTCAGTCGCGCGAGGGCCGCCTCATTACTTGCTAGATGTCCTCCTACGGAGGCCACTCACTTGTTCTCACTTGGGGCGGCGGGCATTGCTAATGCCCCTGGATAATTCTGCTGCCCTTTATTACAGTTTACTCATTGGAGGTATATACATTCAATTCAACTCATTTCGCGAGGTGAAACGCGTAAAAAACACGAGTGGCGCAATTTTCGTGATGCAAAACCACGACGCACAAAAGGCGCGCCTACCGTAATCACAAATTCAGTCAACGTGTTGATAAAATTCCTTTTTCCTTCCCAGAGTTTTTCCTCTGCGTTTTTGTTGTTTTCTTTTTGTATTTTTTTCTTTTGCACTGGATGATATCAACTATTGTGAGAGCAAGTAGATGTGATAAAGAGATTTGTGAGCTAGGGGTTGCACAGAGACCGCAGGAGGTGTGACTGTGAGGGAGCGATTTTGTTTATGTTGTTCTGGAGAACGCTTCTTGCCTGTTTTCTTCTTTGGGAGATTACTTATCAGCTGCTGTTTCATAATTGGAAAGCAGCTATCCATGAGACTTTTATCGCGGGAGCTGTCTTTAAGAAACTGGATCGATACCCCAACCATCCTAGTTCTGAAAGCGCTGGCGGACGCTCAGAACACTGGGTGCACTAAAAATGCTGGATCGATACCAGTACTTTCCTAGTCGCTCAAAACGCTGCGGCAAAGTGTGAACACTCCTAGAGAACGCGTACAAGCAGAAATGGACTAGTTTTCCCTTCTGCGGGCCCCTTCTCCTCTCGAACGCTACTCACTGCTGAGCAAATCTTCTGTCAAACGGATCACGTCCTCATAGTCGGCATATGCCATGTAGAATTCACAAGTGGTAAATTCAGGATTGTGCGTCATATCAATTCCTTCATTTCGGAACAATCGTCCAATCTCATAGACACGATCGATACCACCGACAATAAGCATCTTAACGAATAATTACACATAACGTAAGCTTAAAACAAATGTTCATCGTTACCTTGTGATACAACTCGGGAGCAACCCTCAAAAAAAGGTCCATGGCTAGCTCATTGTGATGGGTTATGAATGGCTTAGCTGTGGCACCACCGGCTATTTGATTCATAATTGGTGTCTCAACCTGGACGAGGATACGACTGTTATAAGACTGAAAATGAGAAAAGAAAGATTAATGAGGGAATAGCGCACCTCGAGAAAACCAAGGTTGTCCAGGTACCTACGCAAAAACGTGACCAACTTGCTACGAACGACAAATTTGTCCTTTACTTCCGGATTGACGATCAAGTCCAGATATCGCATACGATACCTTGAAAAACAAGTTGGCATTCAGAATAAAACAAGTAGTCAACCACTTTCTAACCTCAGTTCTTTGTCCTTCAGACCATAATGCGAATGAGGCAACATTCGAAGGCATGGTGTCAGCTGCTCGACTTCAGTAGGAAGAATGGAGAGTTCTCCAGTTTTAGTCCTTGAAATGAATACCTTTCACATGCCGTAGGACGACAGCGTAAACAATGGCATAAATCTTTACAAAAAATCCTGCCCTTCACATTACTTTACTACCTCTAACATTTTAATGAAAAAGCTCTTCATAGAGAAACAGATTGACCTGGTTGGGAAGCCGATGAATCCCACAATATCACCACGTTTGATCCTATCGTGAACAAGCGTGAAGTTTTCACCACCTGCTTTATGGTATCTTGCATTTGCCATCACCTGAATAGACTAACAATGAGGATTTTGGAACGTCTTGGGAAAACGGAAACTAGAAAAGCAGAAGTCGTATTATGTATGGTTGTATTATGCTGCAGTTATTTCATAGTCACAGCGAACGACAATGAAATAGCTGCAGCATGAAGAATGCTAGCAAATGCGATGAAAGCAGCGGCGCTTAGTTTAAGAAAAAAAAAAAAACGTACAAAACAGCCTAAGTAAGACATGGTTGGCTCGAGGGACGAGTTCGGCGGACCAGTTCGTTTCAGGGCGGAAAAGGGATATCCTGTAGCCTCAGACTAGCTAATCGTTTCTTTGCATCATCCAATGCTGATACCATCTAAGAGCGAAAGAAAAACCACGGTGTAAAGACTGAACTCGTGACAGAAAACAGCCTCCTACTTTTGATGGGCGGGACAACTGAGGAGGCGTCACAGCTGTTACTTATGAAGCCCGCAGCGCCTTCTCGCAGCTACAATAATTAGCGGTACTTGCACAAGGAAGGACGCGTACGAACGCGGGATGTCTTTGACGGTGTGTTTTTATCCAAGATTGTCGCAAGATTTGAAAGCTTTCTAACTCTACGTTCATCAGTAGGTGAATTGAGGTTTTCCGAGAATGCGCCAAAATAGTTGGTGGGCATCGAACGGCGCTGGATATCATTTTCGGAGAATGCGCATTCTCTCAAAACGCCGAACCGGCGATTTTCCTACTCTCCAGTGCAGAATGTGGACGACCTTACTGCTAACAATATAACTTTGTCAAAGTTTGTAGTCAACAAGTGGAAAACGAAAGAAATATGAAAGGGATATTGTTAGCAGTAAGGT